TGCGAGTTGCGAGTTGCAAAATGCGAGTTGCGAGTAAAATGCGAGTATCATGTGATGAAAATCTACCAATTAAATCAATACTTTATGAACTTATCCATGGCCAATCCATGTTTTGTGTTGGATTGCAAAATTCTCCTGTCACTTATACAGTACCATCATCCTTAGAAACATAAATGTTTACTTCCATACTCATGTGCTCATGTTGTATGCCTTTGTATTTTTTTTTTCCTACGAACAAAAATGATTTAAATTGTTTTATACACGATTTAAAGTTTTGGCACGGTTTTAAGTGGTTTGCTGTTTTAACTTTAATGAGTCCAAGACTTCAGTGCATAGAAATTTGTAATAAATTAAATCAAATAGTTTGAAATCAATGATTAAATTAAATCAAATAGTCAGACAACCAATGATGTAAATACTCCCCCTTCACAAACACACACGCCACACATACATATATTTTTCAGTTGCTTTTTCATTTATATAACATACATGTTAGGAATTCACAGAAGCAAGATTACTCATAGCAAGTTGTTAAATACATACACACACACATACAAACTGAGGCCTAACATTCATATCAATTGTTTTACAAATTTGGTAGAAGCTATTACAAGGTACTATATATTCTGTTGATTACTGGTACACTTTTTTTTATAAGAACACAGAGGCCGAAATTGCTTAAAAATTAAGAACAAAACTAGATTTGAACTCGTCACTGAGGACGAGTTAGGTGATCCGCCGCACTTTGACCATCATTAAGATCACGCGGTGCTGATTGAAAAGTGTCATAATATGCTAAAATATGCTGTAATTAGTTTTTTTTAAAAAGAATAATTTTGAGCATTTTAAAAGATTTCCGCATGTGTACACGTAAGTCTTGACGCCCGTGAGCACGGTAATAGCACAAAGAGTGGCTCCTGATATGAATAATGTGTCAGGAACACAAAGTAAGTAACAAAACGTGATTTCCAGCTTTAATATGTGCTGTGTGCGTGGAAATCAACGTACGGCGGGTAAATTATGGAAAGTTTTGAAATGCTGAAAATGACCCGAAACGTTCTTTAAACTATCTGAATAGTAATATGGAGAATTTTCTAATTTTAACAGACACGCACGTCACCATGTGTGCGTGTACAGTAACAGCACACGAAATTAATAATAATATTGTCAAGTGTATTTAAAACCGCCTGTTAGTTGGTAATGCCACACGAACTTTCCCTTCACATAACCTATATATATATTAGTCTGATAGCGTCGAAATACAGTCTGCCGCCCTCTATTATCAATGTATTTACATCTATCAAGAAAGAAAGATGAGAAGGCTCCAAAAAAGCATTCTTTTTGCACATGATTACGTCATCAAAATTAAAAATAAAGGGACACGTCTTCAAGAGAATTGATTTAGCTGTAACATACTCACAGGTGGGAGACAATCAATCAAGAATAAGCGAGATACGTTCAAACGAGTATAAACATAATGGCATCATAAATAAAAATTTAGTTTTTTAATTCAAATGACAATATGATGACGTCACAATGTCCTGTCTCTTATACACATCTAGATGTGGATAATTATCTACAACTTATGTCCTTTCAGAAAATGTAATAAAAATTGGGGGTCACCTTTCATCCTAAGGAGCTATAACTGATTAAAAATATTCATGGTTTTATGCATATATAAATGTTGACGCACGCGTACGTGCACGCTA